TGCGGAAGTAAAGTAAACCGTTCGAACCTTTTCATTTGGTGCGGACAAGAAGGGCACAAAATCACCTACACGAAAAACGACACAAGCTTGATTGTAGGCCTCAATTTAGTCAGAAATAGCCTCGGCAGAGGTAACTGTAACTAAAAGGAGATGGACATCTACACTGCCAGCAACCATCATACGATACTACAGAAATATAGATTCAACAAACCTTAGTCGACCTATCAAGCAAGCTAACTGCACTTGTTAATAAATTTTGGCAGTAACCCGATCAACACTGGATGCGCTGACCTGATAAAAAGAGTGACCCAGGCCTGTGACGCTAATTTGCCTCGAAAAGACTCAGTGGCATAAATTTAAGACCCTCTATGTACTGGTGTAACGATGACATCAGTATCTTTCGTAAAGCAAAGAGAAATAGAGTATAAAAAAAACAATATTGATTGAAGTAAATTGTGTAACTAATCGCGAAATACAAAAGGTGTCGTCGTGAATAATAAGCCCATCAAAATGAGCAACAAAGATGCTGGAAAGAGCTCGAATGTGATGTGGACAAACCATGTAGGGTAGGCTTATGAGGTGGTTATGACTGTCCCACGAAAGCAACAAATGCTTTTAGACACCTTCAATTCCTTCGCAAAGTAGTAATAGCGCAGTTTCCACAGCGACGCGGTTTCAGTTATCAGTTTTCTTCAAGCAAGCTGGATGACATTTTACCAGACTGTGAAGAGAATTTAATGAAAGTCTGTAACCGTCTAAGAAAAAATAAAGCGCCGGGATTGAACGGAATTTCTAATATAGCTTAGTGATAAAGAAAGCGCTATCACATCAACAATGCATGCCTAAAATAAGAAAACTTTTCCAACGGCTTGTTCTTTTGCCTAACAATAAGAGAAATAAGTCACTAGAAAGACTGTCTTCTTAGATATTCGAAAGTATTTTATCAATGAATTAAAGCAATTGTCATTCATGGCAGACAACCAGTATGGATTCCGGAAGGGATGATCAACCCTGGTCGCGATAAATCTAGTTGTTGATACGGCCAAGGAAGCAATCACAGGAACAAAGATTAAAGGGTTTGGAATATTGCCTGGTGGCCACACTAGACCTCAAAAACGCCTCCAACTGCACCAACTGGTACTGCATTATGCAAGCTCTTCAAGAAAAGAACGTACCAGGTTTTATTTGAAAAATAGTGTCATGCTACTTCACGGGGTAGAGTCCTGAATTCAATAAATATAATATCATTGGACTACTTTTAGCATATATGTGAAGTTAATATTTTGATGCATTTTTCAAGATTCGTGAGATATGTTTCAATATCTTCATACAGAGTGGATAATTTTAAGTGAAAGCATCGCTTTCTCAAAATTAGATTAAAGCGGTAATTGTCTTGAAACAAGTTGCATGAATTTTCCGATATACGAGTATGTGCAATATTCATAATCTCAACAATAATTTGATTTGTAGATAATTTACCAGTCTACCAGTTCACTTGTTAACTGATCTACC